TAAGATATATTATTGACCCAATGTTACAAGTCATGGAAATGAAATTTATACTATTGCTAACTAAACCTTACTATTGCCTTAATATTATATCTGATCATGCATGTTTTTTTCTGTTGTAAAAAAATTTATAGTGGGACAAAATTAAAATTTTGTGGTGTTTGAATATTAAAGTTACTCACTGTATATTTTAGAAATGTACAAGATATACTGTTAGATGTACACATACTGTAATTATTAGTAGTCAATTCAACATTCTTTGTCAGAAATTATCATAAACTAAAACTTAAATTAGTTCTGTTATTAATTCTGTTATTAAAAGGTATATATAAAATTTCTATTTTCTTGATAACCAGTACTATCGTTATGAGAAAAACTTGATAGTTTTGAATATTGATAATGCAAAAAAATACTTCATTTCCAAAGGAGAAGGAGATAAAGATAAAGAGAAAAAAATATTTATGGTAGAATAGAGATCATTCTGCACTTGGTATGTTTAAGAATTTCAGGACTTCATTATTTAATAAATAAGTGAGTGTCATTGCGGATTTATCGTAAAACACGTGATAAGTGTAAAATATGATCCTGTTGTCAACGACTAATCACGCAGCACGCTTCGAAGTGCGAAGTTGCGAGAGGAAATTAGACTGGGTATGGTAATTTAATTATGTCGACAAATAGCATGTCGATAAGTCCAAGGCGAACTGTAAATCACAATTTGTTACTGTTCATTAGCACTCACAACTTTGAATAATACATAGTTTTAATAATAGTTTCTATATATCATTACATAGTTAGGATATTTATGAACTGAAAAAAGTGTCATGAAATCATTATTTGTATACAAAGAATACTGCAAAACAATTTTTAATTAAATTTGGAATTAGGAAATCAGTTTGCGGAAGTAAGAATTACTCATACTTGGCGCAGCGTCGCCACTCACTATTTCACAATTTTGATATCATTGTACGAGATCACCAAGTATAACGAGTTATTAATAAAACACGCGTTTAGCTACGCGGTTTGATTCAAAATGAGATCCACGTACCACGTGCTGAAAAACGTGTTCATCTCGAGCCATTGGCAGACACTTTCACTAAACCCTTTCCTAGTGTGTGCTCCACTTTTCATTTATGCTCGTGTAAAATTTACTTATATATGCCTTTTCAATATTCCATGTCGAAACAACTCTCTGAACACAGGTTCTCGCACGATTGTTCATAGCCACTGTTCAATCTAATTTCATGATTTTGTAAATCAATAGTAGTATTTCATTTGAATAAATAACAATAAAGATTTGCAAAGCAAATATTTCTTACACGTAAGTTTCTTAATACACGTTCTATAGAAAAATGTACTGGAAATGTCTATAGCTATTATCTACATATAGTACGAAATATGATAGGATTAGATTTTGTCGTAAAAGTTTAGGTCGATTAGAAATTTAATGATATTTGGATTGATGTCATGCTTGCTATTTTATGAATGAATTGGTGAAATGAATGATGTTTTCTGATTCAAACAACAAATAACAGTCGATTATGTAGTCGTAATAGCAGTTGCAATTAGAAGAATCTATTTTCGTGAGAAGATATTCATGACTAATTTTAGAATTGTTCGTAAATAGGATATTACTGTGTCTTTTTCCGTTTACGGTAATTGTTCTTGTTAAATCACATTCGGCGGCTTTAAAAAAGCCAACTCACTGGCGTGTAATCTGGTAAATAAAATAAGTAGAAAAGATGGTAATGAACCTATGGTAAAGCGGCATCGAATTCAATAACTTGGGCGACTGATGTTCCTTTGAAAATCGACACTTTTATTTGTACGAACAAACTCAGCTTATGAATCTTTTACACTTGGTTTCGGTCTATAAACTCAAGGTTAGGAATACATGTAGATCGCGACACCGTATATAACGTTAGTGGAATATTCTACGTCACTTCAGACATACTAACACATTTGTAAATAATTATTACACAGTCACGTATTCACGTGTTCATTAAGGAGTCACGTATTATAAATTATAGAAAAACGAAATCTTATCTCATATTGAATTTGAAATAAAGGCAAGGGATTTTAATGCTCTGTCTTCGATGAACAATGTTACTAACAACAATAATTAGTTTTAATGTAACTAATTAACAATTGCATTTAAATACGAAAAACCTTAATTAGTATATGAGAACATACTCTGGCTATTCAAAATATTCACAAATATTGACAGAATTAAAAGTTCCGAAGCAATATTTGTTGTTTATTGAGATTCCGAATTTTTCGGTTCATTTCACAGGATTCGGATGGGATTTGCCGAAAGATCACCTCGCTGCAATTTGCATCCATATCTCCAATTTATCCAAGAAACCAGAAATTTTACTTTTACTTTTTATTCCTTCCTTTTCCCCTCCATTCTGTTTTTATTTCCCCGCGAAGATGCCCATTTGCATTGCGTTCATGAATTTTGAGATAGCACATATGTATCCTTTTTCGACATAAAACAGAGAGGGAGTACTTTACCTCTGAATAATTGATTTGGATAATATCCTTACATTCCCTTATTGTGTCGGCGATAGAAACGAAGAGATTCGATTGAAATCGCGGAGAACGCCTCTGCATGACGCATTAGCACGTTGAATATCACCGATTAAATAAAACTTTTTAGAAAGAGCATTGAAAGATAACACATGAGAATGTTAATTTATATAATAGAAAATAAAGGAGTGATGTTATGCAGTAGAACAGAAGTGATGCAATTTCTAATCAAAGTATGAGCTATTCGTCCGTGAACGTGGACGTAAAATAATTGACGAATCGTTCTTTGAAGTGACATCACCACCCAATAAAATTTCTGTTAATTTGACAACATTAACGTGAAACGAATCAGCTACATAGTAAATACATTATCTTCTAAAACTTCGTCCATCTTGACGATTAGATCAAGTCGAAAGTCTTCCCATTCTTGAAACACTAGGTTTGCTAGGAACAAAAAATGTAAGATCTATAATTTGGATGTTTTTGGTAATTCTGGTATTAGCATAATGTGTTGTTATCGTATTGTGTGATTATTAATTATCAGAGAATAATGTATATGATACGAGTAAATGTCTGAATTTACAAAAATCAATTGTTCTTATAACAGTGCAAATACCAAGGTAGACAAAGCATCTTTAGCACGGGTCACATTTAAGCGCGATATCAGCTAAATCATATTTGCCTTTCATTTCGTCTTCGTCTTTCCTCTTCGTCTTTCCTCTTCGCCACTCTTCTTCATCTTTTGTCTTCCTTTTTAATTTAGGTTCACTTCTCCTTGATTGGCGTCTCCCTTCTCAAGCGTTGCAATCTCGTGAGAGTTGCGATTTTGACGTAAGTTTCCGTGTTGCGTCTATTAACCGACGATAACTCTCACGATATCAATGCAGCAAATTTATTTACTGGTTACATACAATGTCTGTGTGCATGCATGTTCTTTTCTTTCCTTTCGTTTTATCATTCATGCTCTCGTATCATTTGTTTGAGATTGTGAATCATTTATTGAATCTGACCACTGACTGGTCAAAATCCTCTTTTGTCAATTTATGATCATACTATACGTGATCGTATTTAAACCGATATTGTGTAGTATTACTAGTGACCGTGTGATTTTTGTTTTCGTCTTTTTTATATTTGCGGATCGAATACGGATTATACATAATTGAAGGTTTCTTGTAGATGACGCTTCAAGTGCAAAAATTGAAAAATTTTTTAACATATAATTTTCTATATGTCAATAGGAATGCTGTAGTATAGAATTTAAGAGCAATTTCCATTTTTAGATAATAATAATGTTACAACTAATTTAACGCTAATAGTGTTAAAGGATAACACCACTCTTACGTCTAACATTTCCCCTGTATAAAACAATGTAAATGGCATTAAGTGATAGACTCGAACATATAGATACTAAATATCACTAATTCTATAACAATTCTTGCACGGAACATTGTAATATATACTTTTGTAATAAAGATAAAAAGAACATCCTGAAAAAATGTATCTTTTGTTTTGGTACAAGTTATTTAAGAACAAACAGAGTTGATATTTACACTGTTTGCAAATTTAAATGAATAGCACTTTCAGTTTTCTTTGCAACTAAGAAATGGCACGTACAGACTTCCTTATAAATACAATTCCACAAAACTTTGTGGTGCATTTGGATTATTGTACACTTAAGATAACTTTTGTAATAATCAAAACAAATCGAATGTCGAAAACAATTTTATTTTCTAAAAAATTTGATATTTGGTATTTACAGTGTTGTCTACAAGAGGTCTTCAATTATCGATCTTTTTCTCTTTTCGCTGCGTATTTTATTATCAACGTACTTTCAAGGTACTTCCATAGTTAGAAGCGTCACGTGCTTAGGTACCCATGACCCCTGTCGCGAGCATTCAGACGATATTCTAATGTATGACTATCTGCTGCGAACCGCGTGACGCAGGTCAGAGTTCAAAGAATTCCTCTGCATTCATTGCGTGACAATGGAAATCGATACTGGAGTGATTGAAAAAGTGTTCGCACGATTATCTATCAGTCAACCGTTTACAATGCCACGAGGCTACTGCAACTTTCGTGCTGTGTAACGTTTTTGACCATAATGAATCAATTTATTAAAAGAAATTTATACGAAGTACAAGGAACGCGATAAATCACGTAGGACTCGTCTGTATGTGAAATTGTGAGATTATTTAAATAAGATGATTCTGCAACGTTCCGTGGTTACATCAGTTTTATGAAACTCGTATCAATATTTAGGAGAACATCGTGACTTTATTCGGCTTCGTGTTTAATGAAATATTAGCTGGTTTTAGAGATGATTTCATCAACCTTGGAATTACATTATGTTCGATCTTATGAAAGAATGAAGAGTTTTATAATAAAACCAATCTGACATTTCATTGGAATAATCGACAGTTTTATCGGTAATCTTTAAGGCTTTCGTGGAAGCAATTTAATGCAGAGTAGGAAATCATAGTTAATGACCACGAATTCATTAACATGTTTTTTTGAATTTTTTTATTAAGATATTAACAGTGTGAAAATAAAAGGTTGTAACACAAAATAATTGAGAAGAAAGTACGCCACAAAGAGTACAAAATGAAGATATTTAAAGATATATGAAACAGGAAAAAATCATTATATTGCCACTCATATGAACATTTCGATAAAACAACAGAATAATTGCGTGTGTTCTTATCTAGTGACGTCGATGAGGTGTAATTATAAAATATACAAGACAAACGTAGGGTGCGGAAGAGACTACCAGAAGATTAGCGTTCTATCGATTATACTATCAGTCAGGTTTTCATTAAATAGAAAATACGAAGCATGTATTCTAGTCGCGCAGTTTATTTCTCTACAATCGTCGAACAATGGAAATGAATGAAGAATAGGAAATATAACAGATAAGATTAAAGAGAAAGTATATTATCTATTATAACGTATATCAAACTTTCAGCACATCTATAAGTTGACGTTATGTTTGGAAAATAATGCATGTTTTTATCAGGTTTTATACGTAAATTTCATTTTCATAGTATCAAATTTTTGTAGCCATACGAAAGCTAGTAAATGTGATTACCACTGGTGAATATTTTGTTCTAAAATTATTAGATGTTCGAGCTATGAACAGATATAAACAGTTACATGGAATTGAAAATTTTCTGCAGTTAATATGCACGATATTAATGAATATCTAACAACAGGAAGAGCAGCCATTTCGGTGCATTAAATGTTCCATTAACTTATGAGCTAAGCGGCCGCAGAGTCGATTGTTTGCTTTTCTTTCATTAAGCGGTGCTCGTGGCGCAAGGTGTAAAATTAGGTTAAGGTTAAGCCATGTAAATGGCCGTGTAACCATGTAACAGTTGCAGCCTCGTTGACGCAACGATCGACAGAAATCGCCGGGACGAAAACGCGAGTCTATGCAGAGAAACCAACGGTATATGTATAATTTATAACAGGGAACCGCGTATATTAAATGTAGAGTAGCGTTAAAACGTCGCGTGCGGTATAGTATAGTACGCGATAACGGGTTATTCCCGAAACGCGAGAAAGTATACACAGAGATCGATCTTCCGTTCAGGAAGTCTGTATTCCACGAAACCGTACCTCGTGCGAAAGTCGATACAAAAGCCGCTACCAGAGGCTAATTTTTCTCCGTCTTTATTTTCAACAACCAAGTAATCGTGCGTGCACGTAATCATTTATTCGACACCACAGCGCGTCAACATATAACGTTGGTAGCAAGCACTGTGAATGCGAATTGCAAGTGTTTTTATTGAAAGCAGAAACAGAATAGATGCTTATTTGACGATCATGAAGAACGATCGAGTAAACATCTTGTGCTGATTCGATTAACTGTGCTTCGTCCATTTCCAAGAGTATTGATTCTAACCAGTGTACTGAATAGTGTTCGATCTAAAGAAGAATGACTTATAGAAAGCAGATTTTAATGGACTTCGCGGAGATGTAACATGTGTATTTATGTGAATAGTGCACTAATCGATGGTGCAATACTGTTTCCCAATGTAATAGCACCAGGTATTTGTTGTCTGTATTTATCTATTAAATGTCGCGAATCCCAATTTTATATGTTTTACTTCGCTGATACATTACGTTATCTATCTCTCGTATTTCGTTCGATTTGACGCCGGTATAGTTACATTTTAATTTTCGTTTCGCGTGATAAAATGAAAGCAAAAACGGCTGGGTATTAGTTAAGCATGAGACCGGTTAAGTTTTTACCGATTGTATACGGCGATATCGCACAGGTAAACATGTTGTTGCAAAGTAAATGTATAAAAAACAGAAACGTTGATGCCCATTCGGTTCTTAGACTACTGCATTTCTCTCACGTTTCTCATGTTCACGTTTTCTGCGTAGCACGTGTATTTATTATTACGTGCGACATTGTTGTTCTAATAGTGAAAACCACGCAACCTTGATCCATTTTATCACGAACAGTGAACGTTTGAAATTAAATTTAAAATGTAGGCGATCTTCGAGCATAAATAATATTTGTTCGACCGATGGTTCATTTTTAGCTCAGTGTGAAAAAATGATGACAAAGTTAAAGCAATATGGCTGGAATGTAAATTGAATATTTTATGTGTGAATGAGTTCGTCATTTATCGTGCAATTGTACCATTTAATACTTTAAATATGTTAAAGATATGATAAAAGCATGTGGTATACTTGTGAAATGTAGTATAGTACACTGTCATATAACAAGCAAACAGCGATTTTTTATTAAAGAAATTATTTCATATTTTGCAACAGAGTTTCCTTTCTATTTTAATAAAATATGAAATTTTTAATTCATAAACATATAAGCGTCACATTTTTATAAAAATTACAGTTTTATTGCAATTTCCACGTAAACGTTTGAAATTCTTTTCAGACTGTTCTATGCTGTCGCTGTCGTTATTCTAAACGCACTTCATTCATTTCAATCTATCACAGTTGGTTATATACTGTGCAATTACTTAAGGTTTTATATTGCATCGCTCCCGTCGTATCATCGGGCTATTGTTTTGCTATCAACCAAATGGCTGGCAAGAACAAGAGTTATTAATTTAATATCATAACGTATCCTAATCTGTTACTAACGTTTTTTAATTGCTATTACCGTGTCTACTATCTGTCGATCACGTGCACATTGTTTATGATTTCTTTAACATCCTATAACAATATTTATACACACGCATATATATACATTTTGTAACAATTATTCTTCGTGTGGTATCATAGAAACATATTTTTGTGCTTAAAGCGTCTTGTACACTATGTAATTTGAGGTTAAACGATAATTAAAGGTAATCAATGATACACAGATCTATCAAAACGAAATTTAATTATTAGAGATTAAATTAATCGATAATGGCGCGTATCCGTTTTGGAAATTCTTGATAGTACATATAAATATGATTTCGATTCGATGTACATATCATAAATCAGTTAAGTAATCAAATATTTGCACGTATATAACTGCTTATGATTGATGTCTTTGATTACCATTTCCTTTTTCCATTGTCATCATATTGTTGCGATAATTCTATCACCTGGGGAGGAGGCTTATATACTTTCCTCGTGTTTCACAGTAATTGGAAATCAGGTTTGATTTTACGAGTATTATCCTTTCTTATCTCAATTCATGGAATTGCGTAATATTTCTTCTCCAAGTTACTCACTGTATCACGGACCATTTATCTTATATAGAATACCTAATATGAATTATTCGTTAACGTTTTAATAATTCAGTATTGCACAGCTTCACGGTTACTCCTAAGGAAACGACGTAATTTATTGCAAAATGTACATCGCTTACAATTCAGAGATTATTGACGTGGCTATTCACCCATGACTCAATATTCTGGAAATCGCTAACAAAACTGCAAATCCGATCTGAATATGTTTCTGAAGTGCCAAAAATATCGCTGAGTCATTTGTATGCTTTTGAATTTGATGAAGCATGAATTTATAATACACATGATAAATTATAAACATCTTTTATATTTCATTGAAGCGATTAATTTTCAAAAAACCGAAGAGAAAATAATAAGATTAATATAAAAATATCGAAGTGTGTCGAAATTAAAACAAGATTCTAACTGACGCATTCTGTAAAATACCATCACGCCCACTGATAATCCTTCCTAATCCTACCACCATTCCTACTTGAGTCATAGTGTCTTATCTGTTTCCATAAGAAGAAAATTCCTGTATCAAAAATCATCGACAGGTATGCAGAATAGAGAAAATGACGGCTGAGTTGCGTTATGTGCAGGAAAAATGGAGGTAGAACGTGACAGAGGCTTGTTTGGCTGTTATGGCCCGATTCTACCGTTGAGAAAATTCACACGTACGCGAGACGCCTATCATGAACGCTCATTGTTCGTGCTGAAATTAAGCGATGCCCCATACGCAATTTTGGGATAAAGATTTCCTTTGTAGCATGTATTTTCCGCTTTCAGAATAGAATGGTAAGAAACGGTACTGGCGATATCGTCTCATAGAATATTCACAAAGGAACTACAATTAGAATCGGTAGAAGCTTATCGATGTCCCAGGAACTTACTGTAAATATATGTGGGATAAACCGTACATAAACCAGATATATTGCTATCCATATGTCGTTCAATTATAAATCAGGAAGTGTTTGTTAATGCCTGTTAAAAGAATACCTTTTTTTTTGTTTCTGATTACTTCCAGTTCTTGTACAGCCTTCATCTAGAGACACGTCCTGGATTTTCATAATTACGCAAGAGAAACTTCCATGATGTTGCAAATAGCAGAACAAACCAGATTACTAGATGTGCTCTATTTTTAGGCGCCGATTTAATTCTATCTCTGTGTATGTGTGTGTAACTATTCAGCTAAATTCATTTATTCTTGTGTCAGTGTTCTACGTCAAAATACTTTGAATTACACGTTATATAAATAATACCATAAGTAGTTGAGCTATAGGAGTATCAATTTTTCTAATTGATTTTAGATACTATAATTGTAATGCAGATTTTTCTTGTTTCTTTAATAAAGGAAAGAAAGAAAGGAAAAGAATAAAATATCTATTAAAGAAATTATCAAATTCTATTCGCAATTACCTTCTCTTTTTGTAAAGATCACAATTTGTAAGAAGTATACCCCTTTCGTGGCCAAAATTACGTCCTTGGCCATTATTTCATGCACCTATGCAAATGAAAATCAATTTCACGTGTGCAATAATAGTCATGCTCTGGTTTCGGAGTAATCACGTGCAAAGTGATGAAAAAATCACGCGACGGCATATTGAGCAAACGAGGGAAGAGAATGATTTTATAAAGTATTGCACGTGTATTTAGACAAATTTATTTATGACAAATGAGCGATAAGTTTAAAAAATATCATCCCTTATCTTTATGATTTCTGCCCCGTTATCAGATGTAATCCTCAGGTATAAAGACGTAACTCTGTATGCCGCAGATAGGCATAACTCCGTATTTTAGTCGACCGGGAAGTGTGGCACATATCAAAGTACGAATTTGCTCGTGTGTTAAGTGCCATTTTAGGATATGGACGAAATCAATGGTAAATTCTTTAGAACGAACTTGGAATTATCATAATCTTTCATTCATACCAAAGTGTGTTTACGATATCGAGTGTTCTCATATCAAACATACAAAAAAAATCTATCCAATTTTTAAAGTATCGCAATTGTGACTTAGCATGATTTAAATATTAAGTAACAATAGTTAAGCGCAATATAATAATTTAAATATTTGATTATTCTGAGAAATTACGACTTCTTTCCTTTTTTTCTGCAGTTCTGCGTTTCCCTGCTTCTATTTGTATTCATTCGTCTTTTACAAATTCCATTATTGAGATACCTTTGCTCTCTTAATTTCTTGCGAGAACTGTTTCAAGGAGATAAGTTATATAATTTAAATAATAATACGTTGCTGGTCGTCGGTATTTGAATACCAAAAGAGAATAATTTGTAATCACGCTACATTCATTAATATTCATATTCTTCTGTTATTTGTAATTACGCATCAGGTTTTCCTTTTTTTTTTTCTTCTTTCCAGCTTGCGGTGTTTGTGTTCTCTTTGAAATTTGTAATTTCTTGGTATCGCATCAGTGCAACGATAACGTGAAATGTTGCTTCTTGTACTGTCTTCACCGATAAGAAATTTGCAAACATTTATTATCGTTTGCTTTACGAAACAAACGCATATCTTCCAAAAAGTCCATCGTAAAAATATACTGGAGTTTTTAACCAATTCGTATTATAAAAGTTTTCAAAGTGTAAAGGTTAACATCGATATTTCCTCGAACAGTTTATGAACTATATTTTTCCTTGTGGGCGATTAGGCGGACGAATTTCTCATGTTATACAAAAGAGCACGCGTGATCTTCGATAAGAACATCGTTCGCATTTTATAGTCAGTGAAATAGATGCGTTAATATTCGATTGGTTTTTATTTTTAAAATAGCATACGGCGCGGCGGGGCAGAGAAGTGACAGATATCGATCGTACGATTGCTGATGTCCGAGATGGCCTACCTTTGTGGTATATTCATTCTCGTGTAGCCTACTTTTCTCTATCTTTTTTTCTCGCAACCGAAGAATATTTATAGATTTTTACTTCACGCGAGCATATTTCTTTAACACTCAAAACAAACACACCACCGATCGATTTATATTTTATCATGTTTACACACTTTTCGCACATTAATTACATTCAGCATCACCCAATTTCGAGAAACTTTCATATTTGCTCCAATACCATGCATAATAAGCTGCCGATTTCTTTTGTATAGAACAATCATAAGAAAGGTAAAAACCACCAAGATAAAAGTAGGATATATTTATATAAGATTCAAAGAGGATTTTGAAACCAGGGAAAGCGTGTAAGACTTAGAGTACGTCTTGATTACGAGATATCAGCTTCAGCAGGAATAACGTCGTTGGGATTTTTCATGCGACAGGGAGTAATAAACATTTTCATGGCAGAAACAAACTTTCGTTGGAACGGGTTATCTTTTCTCCAGAACCCTTATTTATCGTTGTCCTTGATTTCATTGTGCGTCACTTACCAAACTTTTATTGTAAGTCATTGTCGCTAGACAAACAATTGCTTTGTTCGACTAACCCACTTCTACAAATAAGTTTCCTACCTTTTACCTGTCCGTAACGATCCTATTCGTCATTTATATTCATCGACTTCCATTGTAGCCATTAACGCGATATTATTGTTTACAAATTTCCATACATATTTTATTGACGAAGAAAACGCGTTTTTCTTCTATATCTTAAATTGTGGTTGAATTTTACTTTGTAATTTGAATTCCATGTAAGATTTCATTTATGTTGATTTCTTCTAATTTCACTTCTTCTAATTTTCTACTAAACGTGAAGTGTGAAAAAGGTAAGGTTTTATGTCCAATCTGATATTCATTAAGATTCATTTGTTGTATATATGTTTTATATGTATGTATTTAACGATTAAAAGTGTAAAAAGTGAAAACTAAGTGGACGTATGTCCCCTTAAAATACATCATGTTTGCTCGAGCTATACTCAACATCATGCGTGATCTGAAACGAAGTTCAGAAACAGAGTTGTGTCCACTATGTCATCGCGCATCGCGCGAATCAATATCGTACAGTTGGAAATAAAGTACGTGGCAATATCCTCGCCGTAGTTATATATAGCGTCATTTTCTAAACTTGATCGTACGTACATATGTCAATCTAATCAAGTCACGGAAGTGGAATATTACCTAAAAATAAACTATACTTTGGTATATATCTACGTAGAGGTTTGTCTCCCAGTAAAGATCAGAAGGTTTTCTACTATAAAAAAATTTTCTAACAATAGATACACACTTTTCATACCTCGATAAATTTAGTTTCAAATCCATTCATAAAGTCTAAAGAAATATATAAATCAGAGGAACTATATCTAAACCAACAATTTCGTCTGAAATGCCAAACGTTAGTTTCTTCATGCATACGCTATCGTTGTTTATGTCATTGTTCAATGATTTAGTGCCCACAAATTAAATCCTCTGCGTCACCCAAAGACGTGAACCTATTTTCAAAATGCCAGTGAACTCTGAGATTTCCCGAGTATTTGAATTGATATTTTTGAAATTTGTTCTAAATTCAAATCTTAATTTTCAAATTCAAATTACAGAATTCAGAAAATTATTACAAATATGAAATTCAAGTTAGAAAGAATTGTTCCATTACCAACTGATGGAAGCAAAAATTCAATTGATCAAGCGATCTTTTTTCTGAACAAATTCTGAAATCACCATCATCTAATAATAAAACAATGATCTTCAAAAAAACCGAGATTTATCCCGACAAATTTTTTCTTTAACACGGTGGGCGATCGAACGATATACGACAGTAAGGAAATCTGTTTGAAACTTTTCAGGAAAGTTGCAAAACTGATCTCTGTTTGCGATTTCAGCAATGTCCTTGGAGGAGTCGCGGCGTTCGCAGCGTCCCTACAGGTACGGAATGGTTCTCCTTTGCGTTGGAGCACTGATAAACTGGTTAGGCCTCGCAGAGAACTACGTCGAACCGGTACGATATGTTGGTGTTGCTTGCATAATCGCAGGCGCACTTCTCATATGTGCCGCAATGTGTTGTTGGCTGCACGCACCGCCAAGTAGGGCAACCATGCACACACAACACACAAATCATCCAATCACAGCACAGGTAAGTCTCCATTTTTTAATCCATTACAGCGATAATCATTTTATCTTTTATCGAAATTGTCAAACACGTCAGGGAATACAAATTTGTCATGAGTAAAGATTGCGAATAAGTTGAGAGAATGATTTGGTATCATATTGGCATATTTTGAAGAAATTAATCAGACGTTGATTTGATTGATTGGAATTTGATTCTTATTTTATGACTGACTTATCTTTTCCATATGCAGCATGTAATTATTGTTAAAGAAAATACAAAACTAAGTAATATATCTTATACTATAAAGTGCAATTCTAATAACAGATCTAATCGTACGTCTTTAATTAGCTAGTCGAAAGATGAAATTGAAACTTCTGCGAGCAACAATGTTCCAAGAAAATTTGAGATCAATATTTTACTTCTACGTTTGACTACATCTTTGTATTTCAAGCAACTTAAGAACTAGTCACGTGCGTTAACCTATACATATAGTGAATTCGAACAAACTCCCGATTAAACAGATAATATTTCTGAACTTTAGCCGCGGTGACAGTTCACTTAACATTGCCAACATTTATGTATTCATATTCTAAGATCGAGAAATCTATCTGAATCCTTTCTCTCGGAATGACCCAAGATAAAACAACAGCTGTAACTCTATTGACTGAAAGAGTAATTGAATCTAATTTCGATTCTATTTCACGTGTTAAAATCCTTATTTTCTCCGTAAACGGCTCAATTTACCACCGGCAAACTTTTGTTTGAGTTTAAGGATTTCGAAACATACTTGATTGAGACCTCCGAAAATTGCAGCGTTTTTCAGATCGATCCAGGTCAACTTCCTATTATAGACGGTGAACCGGTCGTCTATAGCACAAGTAATAGTACGCAAGGGAACCGTAATCAGCAGCGTTTGTAAACAGGCTACGAGATAAAAATAATATAGTTCGATCAAAATTATTGCAGTGGCTTTTCCTCGCCTCATAAATCGCTCGCTGGCTCTTAAAATCGACATAGTTAACACACGCCATGTAGCGTTTCGTAAAGCGGCAATAATTGCTGTGTACTCTTGGTACAAATCAGCTTCGTCAAGAGTGAAAATTTATGAACAACGTTTAAAGTTCGATAAGAGAATATTCGGTAAACGAAATTAATTTTCGTAATTCCTTTTGTTCCACAATTCATTATACTTATAGGATTTATTTAGTATTAAAGAATCGCACTTAGCTTTAAAATCAATAGATTAAAATCAATCAACTAGCTACTAATAGATCGATCAATAGTAATATCAATAACAAATCGGTAAAGTGACAGATAGATGATAATAATGTAACATTAACCACGTTTATAAACATAAGTAACAATAAGTGATGTATATCAAGATCTATCAGGTTATCATTTAGAAGCTAAGTATATTTGATACAAAATCGATTTCCATGGAAACGGAACCGTATTAAAGAAATTGTATTCCCTTTTTGTGGTCAAATATCTCACTTTACAGTACTACTTTGCGGTGTATCCTGTATAGAAGTATTAAAAAATCACTTTCGTTCGTTTCTTATGATATAATTTTCACATGAATGTGATCAATGTATCTTTATAACACGTAGTATGCTGCCAAAAGTTACAATAAGAAATAAAATTTCTAATTCATATGGCCATCGAACTAAAAATTCTTATCCCTCGAACAATTATAAGCAATATCGTAGACGCGATCGCATTACTTTCACAGGTATTATGTAAATTCTGGGAACCAGACGACCAGAATCCTCCGATTATCACTGAACGAATTCTTTTGTCGCACGTTTTCTTTTATCTCCTCGCGATTCTGTCATAGCTTTGTTTGCAACGTGCTCTTTTGTCCTACACGCCCCATTATGTCTACGCTTTCATTTCACTCGAATTTTGGTCATGCAAAAATTGTTCTTTCAAAATCTGTTTCTCTTACTTTTTTGCCTCTCCTTCACATTTTCTGCATTTTGTCACTAAAACGATATGTGGGCGTAGTATAGTCGTGTGACTTAGAATAGAAACTGTTCCTCTTTTCGTTCACGCAGGGAAACAATAGAAATGCAAAGGTCTGTCTGTGGCTCGATGCATAAAGGAGGTCGCTGGTAGTTACAGTACACTTATCTACTACTGTAAGGATATTCACCCGGAAGCACGTATCTATATTTATCGGCGGCCATCCTTCGATTATTCTGCCGTGTCCCAACTGCAATAAACACATTTGTAATAGTTGTCAATTTTCTGTTATGCAACCATTTTCTTACAGTAATTAACATTTTAAAATCAACCTGTTATTAATAAAATAGAACGTCAAGAATGTAGAATGATAAAAAATATATAAGAAATATTCATGTTTTGCAAACAATATTTCATCGTTCTTAAGTAAAATGGAAATATAGCGATGCATTGATATTCATTTATACTTCTAGATTATCATCTATTTCCATTGCTAATAATCTCATCATGGATCATTCATTTTTAATTATTAATCATATTAGCGAAACGAATTAATCTGACAAAGATCATGAATACGATTATAAGATATTTATTTATGTGTATATCTAACAATAAGTATAACAAGAGACTTAATCCCAAAGTGCATTATTTATTGTCTTGCAATATTTACGACAGATACATTGATAATTTCTCCTAGAAAATATGTATTTGAAATGAAACTTAATGGTGATTCTTCAAGTATGAATTTCTATCATAGAATCTCAGTCGCATAAACAGGTCCAAATGAATTAAATAAGTAACTAGGAAATTCTCAAATACCAACTTCTATAGTTGGCATCAAGTAAAAAATTCTAAACAACAAAATCGTGCGATATTTTTACAAATGGCTTTTACGTCAGCTAGATTATTTCCAAACGAAGAAACACGATCATTTATCGATCTATAGAACAATCACGAATGAAATCGTGAGCCACTTGAGTCAATAGAAACCGAACTACCAGTGCCAGTATTGCAAAATCTCTAATTTGCGATTTGTACCTAATGAAAAAAAGCCGCCAGTTTCGTCGAAGAAAAAATCGGCTCTGTTCTCAGTCATTCACCCAGCGATTCGAGCCGACAAAACGATTATGCAATTTTCCGCGAAGCTTTCTTTATAGCCTCGAATAACCGCGCTATTTTCATCCTGTTCTGTATCCGGCGTACGTAACTCTGCGGTAAACGCGCGCCCTTTCGTGACTTAGATCCGGCCAGCTATAAAGTTTCTAAAGAGTGTCGAGGCAAACACGTAGGTGGATATCTATAGACCAGTCGCGATATATATAGAAGAATAACCATTTTGGGGTTAATATCCTTGCCGTTGATCGTGTAATACTGTCGTAAAATATTAACGAGATAAGAATCGATTCGTACGAATTGGATCGGAGAGGTCACTTTCGAAAGGCAGACGTTGATCATTCATGGCTTTAAGTATAGAACTCTATTGAATTACTATTGTCTTGTACTTGAATATATATATTTATATATGTAAATATATATATATATTATTATTTTATAATTTTTTCAAACGCTGATTCGAGTGATAAATTCTATATCACGCAGATCGACGATCCTATTCACGTAATCTCCATTGAGGAACCATCTAGTGGATCCAGACAAAAACCACCAGATTACGAAGCGGTTACGGACGCGCCACCTAGCTACGACGATGCCATCAAGTTGAATCCTAGTCATCTATTTAGGCCGAACAATAGCAACACGTTGTCATTACCAACTGTACACAACATGGTTCCTAGAACCGTGGAGATTGTTTCTAGGGACCCGACGCCGTCGCCGCCGCCGCCTTACGCGAGGTAAAATACAATTACGCATCCATTGCTTTCTCTTCGATGAAGCGTTCGATTATTTAGTTGATAGATTCTCAGTAAAGTATAAAAAGAACAGGTGTTTGACGTATTGTGTCGTTCGTAAGTCGTGAGAACTAGTGAGCCTAGTCGCGTCGTGAAACGTAGGGTGGGGATGGAACGAAGTCAGGGAATTCCATACATCTGGGAGGAACTATGATGCAATTTCACTTCGCGGTTTATTACAGGTGATGTTACGAATTGTTCTATAAAACTTGGTTACGTCATGATATACTACGAATATGGTATTAGTTACGTCAGAACTCCGTTCATTTAAACTTTTCTGTGAATAATTCGCTGGTTTTCCCGCTATTTAGATAAGATTTTTTCATTCAAATAATAAATTTAAACAACAAGAGATTGTTTAATTAAGCATTAAATGTCCCAATAAATGTTCTGTTATATCTATAACGTATGAGATTCGATCGAGTTTCTGAGAATTCGATGGATTCCTATAGAAATTTTATTGAAAGAAATAAATCTTTTATTGATAAGTACGTGTACAGATTTTTGATGTAATTATACAATTATATTGATGATTTCTCTTTATTTTAGGTGAAATATTTGGCAATACCACTCATGATCGCGACAAGAAAGGCTTGCGGCATGCTAGAGTTCCTGTGTATTGCAATACATCTACCAACCGACCAAGTACAAGAGTGCAAAGATGGTACGAACCATTCAGCCGTTCGTTATAGCTGTTACAGCACCGTCAAGGATGGGAGAGCCTCGTTTAAGTAGACCTCTTTTAAGTAGACTAAAGATATTTGTGTTCAAAGAATCAAACGAACAGTTCTCCAAACGGGACTCCGCTTTTGTCACTGAATCAACGCAACGACACGATCGAAGCTAGAGTCGTATTACATTGGTCGTTACGTTTGATCGATGGATTTCACGAATCTGAAACGGATGGCGAATTTTGTTACAAGAACTTGAGAAATTCGAAGAAGAGAGAGCTCAAGAGAGTCAAAGGGAATGTAAACATTGTGCCTTCTGCAAAGCGCCTAGAGAGACACAAGCCTAAATGTTTGCACAAGATACTCATGACTTGATACGTAGTTCCAGAGCTGTCGAAACTTCAAGTGAACTTGTCAATAAACCAGTATAAGCATGATTAGCGAACTCGTCTGGCTAATTTAGAGTGAATCTAAAATAGCAAATACGAATTGTCGATAATTCGATACACTTCGATGCGTTTGTACATTGTTATATCTGTACACAATCTATAAACTGTATCCATTGTCATTAAAAAGAATAGGATTTGCTATGGTCGAAGAACTTAAGAGACCTTTACGTCTTAAGAGACCTTAAAAGACGTGTAGCAATTGGAGAGGGAAGCCCTAAAACGTGCCGGAACTAGAGATGTTCTGAATTTCATTGCTTCGACAATCCCGTGGCTTTTTAGAGGAAATACGTTTGCTTGCCATATAATTTCGATGATTATCATTTTTACACGATGTACATACCATATGCAAAACTCATTCACACGTCCATTTTATTGTGATATATACGATTATGCAGGTATTATATAATACGTTACTATGTCAAGTTCGACGTTGCTTTGTGAAACAAGACTCTTTTTTTATAACGAAAATGCAAATATAATGATAGGCAACTTTTAAACCTGAGTTTCTTTCCTACACCACTTCCTTATAGCGTTTTCTATAAGATTCGAAACGATAGATAGATTCTAAAACGATATGGACTATGGCCATAATCGATAAAAATCTTAAGAGGTCTTCTTAGTATGACGAGCTAAAAAATCAATCTTTTTCTTTTTTTTTATAATTTGACATCTTGAAAATATGTCCATAAAGTGTTAAAGTTTAATTCTCAATATTGGCAGAGATCCATGCTTTCGAAGAAAACGGAATGAGTGTACCGAAATCGCAGTAAAACCAGAAAGTGAGTAATTGTTTGAAGTAAATCGAATATATAAATCTTCTACGTACTATAACATCGTATTTCATATTCCACATCATGTATTTCACAACCAATACTTCAATTACCATACCTAATATCTTAAAAGTTACATACCAAGCATCACGATCTCTGTCCCGCTCTATCTTCCCACATTATTCACATACTCTGATTAAGTGAGATTTGTGCATCGGACTGGCATGACTAAGGAAAACGAATTTTGGTCGTAAGAAGTGGAAAGTGAAGATTTAAAGCACCGAACTTTGTGTTTGTAAGACTTGTCTATGAAGAATAAACCAAGATTCATCGATAAATACCCTTTATTCAATCGGAGTAACATTTATACTTACTTAAAGCATGTCATTGAACTTATATATTCGTACAACTTTATCAACGGCAACAATAATAATCGTAATAATGACGAGAACGTAACGACAATAATGGTAATAATGGTAATAATAGCAATAATGTCGTCGAAATGGTAACTCCCAGGAAGAACGAGCTCGTACTGATCGTGAACGTGTTGCCCGTCTGCCTTCCCACTGCCTGTATGCGGTTCGTGTTGAGCAAAAAAATAGATCTAATCACAGTGACAATGGTAATTATAATCGTAATAATAATGACAATGACAAGAATAATGATAACGTCGAAGATTAATCGTAATCGTCGGCCGACTATCGCTATATTTTTTAATTTATTATTACTCTCACTACACGGTGTTTGGTTAAAGTATATACCTCTTCTCACGGTATCTTTCATCCCATCTGTCCACGAAATAGACGAATAATTGATTCTCCTACACTCTACTTCCCAGATTCTCCCCTCTCTCTTACTTTTATGTACACTGTCTCGTTCTACTGTGACGAAATTATTTCAGTCTGTAAAGTAATAAGCGCTGCACGGAAAATATCTTCGCCTATCTCGGTTATCTCGCGTCTCTTTCTATCCTTTGTTTTAAACTAGTACTCGTGTAATACAATGTGTTACTTGGTAAACGTCAAAGATAATTTTACGCGAACGTCGCCATCGACTTTTTTCCTCGTTCGTCTCGTATACGTATCGATGCCAGAGAAATAAACCAGAAACGCTTCGTTTGCCGGTTCGACGACGTGTATTGTCAGAGATTTGCTTTTCTTCATCGAGCCTTCGACCGTTAAGCACCCAAGAGGCAGAAGATATTCGTCGTATCGCGATACGCGCAGGAACGTATCGATATTTACACGTTTGGTTCCTCGCGTGCTTTGCGATCCATTAAAAACGCCAACTTACAACGTAGAGAGACGTAAATGTATCAACAAAAATAATAACAATTCACATAGACGCGACGGTACTATGTACGCGTATCTGTTTATCCTAATAAATTTCTCCAACGAAAGGAACAAACACAGAACGTTTCGAAACTATTGCACAAAAGAACGAGTATCCTTCGTCCCGACCCGATTGGTCGACGATTCACGACGAGCACGAGGATCAAGGATCGTCCTCGCTTTTCATGGAGCTCGTCGATCCTCGACGCGCCCTTAAACGCCTGGAAATTTGATAAGTACACCGTGTTTGCGATTGACATCTTGACAATTAACGACCAGGCTGTGTGTACATGCACCGTTATTACAAGATCGAGGTTTCACGCGCAGAATCTTCTCTCATCGATCATCTCACGCACAATTAGCCAAGTGGATCAGCACTACTCGCCGAACTCTCATTATAATATTCGTAATCTCTTTCTGTCGACTATGTACACACTATGGACAAAGTGTTTCGCCGTTTCGTAGACTCGTTGATAATATAAATGCGTCGGTATACTCATCGCTAATATCCTATATCAGACGGTAGTAAGAGTAGTGGTAGCAATAATAATAATGATTGGGTTAGTCCTAGAAACAATCTCGGTGGTTGTAACAGTGACGATAGTAGTAATAATAATATCTAGCGGTAAGTACGCAGTAGTAATTTATAAGTAGCTGTCGGTTCTTTTCTTTTTTTTTTCCATTTTTCCATTTTAGCAGAAGCAGCATCGATAGCGGTTCCACATTCTCGTTTACTTTTTAAACGTTTAATGGCTTAACGGGTAGTAACAGTTATGCACTGGTAAGAGCAATACGTTTGTTCGATATACATTTAAGCTAATCATTTATGTTTTTCGCGCGTGTGCTCCTTGTGTCTTCCACCAACTTCATCTTTATCTTTACATGACTTAAGAGTGATAACGACATTAACGTTTCCTTTGAATAATATGTATATGTATATATATATATATGTATATATATATATATAAATGCTTTCTCTGCTGCCTATTTACAATCACGATGCCTACGAGTCCTCACGGTCCTCGGCCTTACGTTATTCTTATGTTCTACAATTTCATTATATACAAAAGATATCGCTATGAGCAACGTCAGTCCGTACGGTTCTGCGGGATCACACTGAGTGGTTATCAGATGATACCTTAGATACCGTTTTTCTTTGTAACATTTACTACTCTCAAGTCTATACAGTCGTCATCGGCTTGTGTCGAACATTTACCGTCTTTAAGTCGACAGTCGAAAGCACCGTTTTCCTTTGGTACACGAGCAAATCACCCGATAATTGGTAAAAAGTCTTCTCGATTTCTCATTCTCAGTATGGAGAGTCATAACACAATTTATTATACGATCAAGAAAGTCTTTCTCGTTGCTCGTTTACCGACACACGATTTTCATTGCACAGAATAGTCTTTCCGTTGTGGTAAACCACGCGAACTCCTGTGTCTCTGTTATGATCGCATTTTTTTTCTTATCATCACAACGAGAACGAAGTTACCGCATGAAACGCGTTCGTGTCACGTTGTATCCGATCGTCGAGCTTTAAGGATGGTCTCAGATGGGTGTCGGTAGGACCGTGAAATCCTGCAGCGCGGTCTTCACCGTTTCGTATATCGGCCTGTTTGCCTCGTCCGCGCAATAACCATCAGCGGTGCACAATGTCTGCAGCTTCGTCAGGTAACTGTCGAAGTTTTCGTGGCCCATCTTCTCCTGCGGTCCGCCCGGGGCGTTCGGTATTCGCACGTGCTCCAACAACGTTATCATGTTATCGCGTAGCGATTGATAGTACTCGGTCAGGTTGTTGCTTCGCTGAGTAATCGCCGTTGTTTCCTACGAAGAAACGAATCTTTTTTTTACAAAACATTCAGCTTGTTAAATATACACTTGATCACTTTCACAACAATAATAAAAAGGAAGGAAAATTTAAGTATTTGTAACGAGATGAATATTATCTACTAAAAATTTCAGAATTGGGAATTTTCAACTTTGAGCGCCGGAGGAAAGGGAATCTCCCTGATCAGCGCAGATCTACGTTAACAAAGAATGATACAAGAACTGTCTAGCCTAAAATTTTCACGAATTTTAATTCCATACTGTGTTACTCAATCACAGTAAGTTTAATATTCAAATATACGATACTCAAATCTATAATAATATTATGGATGATAAAATAACATTGTAAATGGAATTTAGCCCTGATTGGGTCGCATTCTATGTAACTGGCAGACGGAAGCTCTTCTAGCATTTCTATCAGCGCACGGTAATAATCGATTACCGACTGAGTACAAGCGTACTGACCTTTTCACCTTGCTTCAGTTGGTTCTCCATGGCGGTGATATCGGAGCGCAAGCGCAACACCTGCGATTCGACCCGAGCGTTTTCTCTCTGGAGCTCTGTGATCTCGGCTTCCAGTGTGTAGAGATCCTCGCTCTGGCCACTGGCGGTACCGCTACCACTCGTGTTACCCTGACCCGTACCCACCGCACCCCCGTGAGCCGGACCACTGGTGTCCACTCCTGAAGATAGGGCATACACGGTCCATTTTAACAGCCTGTCTATCTCCCTCTTTTTTTCTTTCTTTTTCTTATACTTTTATTTTGCTTTTCCCGATTTCCAACAGCTTTCACCCTGATTCTCGAGACACTGGTTCGACTGGTTTTTTCTGCTAATGTCACTGGGCGCCAGAAGTAATAAAACAGCCATTGATATTCAACGTAAACGTGAATATTTTCATTGCTTTTACTTTCTTATAGCTAACTTGTAGTTTTATAGTCAGCGTGTATAACGATGTCGATAGTCTCGAGAACGTAGGTTTACTTGGAGAAAACCATCGGAAGCCAAGAAGGTCGATAAAGTCCGATCAACCCAAGATCTTGACCGAAACTCTCAAAAAGAGCTCTGTCCACACGAGTTTCATACAAAAGCGACTTGATATTAGAGAGAAAAAATGTTACTAGTTACATACGTAGTTCTTGACAGGTGTGCGGGATTCATATACAATAAAATGTGAGAATGTGGCGAGAGCATATATGTAAGTAGCGCCAGGAAAGCTTCGGACAGCGATTTGGGTTGGTCTGTGGTCGGGTTACATTGTTTTACTTTTTTCTTTTTTGGTATCTTTTTTCTTTTTTTGGAAAACAAGTGCATCATCACATCGCAGGTTCGTCTTATCGCGCGACAATGATCGCTTGCTAGGCGGTATAAGTCTAGAAAGTATCCCAAGTCGCTGCATGAGGATTTGTCTGAAATATGGGAACGGTTTCTTCTGCGAGTGGTTCGTGCTGAAGTGATGGAGAAAAGAGCTCGTCTAGTTCGCAAACGCGACGACTTGTTCTTTCGATGAAACGAGTGATGCGTTTTACTCATTAATAGACGCACGAACCTGACAGGAGTGCCGCAGGAAAACAGAATGATCGGGGACGATGTTAAGGTGATCAAGGGGTAGCGTGAGGTGCCATCATACCAGATAGAAGAAAAAAATAGGAGACACCGAGTGCTGGCCTTTTAATTTTGCAACGTCATCGTAACTTGCAGTTATATTATAAAAGAATTGAAAATTATTTAATTGAAACTATAGCAGGTACTTTTCTGTTTCTTTATGTTGCTGCCAACACTCGGACGTCATCTCGTAAAAAGTAAAATTACTGGTGTGTGGATCTTGTATGTAACACCGAAAACACATAGAAAACAAATGGCGAGTACGTCAGTCCCTTACCTTCAAAAGTAAATGTTCTCCTCAAAGCTCAATGACAGGAAAGGAGCTGATCGTGATCCCAGAATAAATCAGAATATATTATTTTTCATTATTATGACATACGGCTGCTTTTTTTTGGTCTTTACATTTTCGCTTCTTTTTTTCTAATTGTCTTTGTTCTTGCACATAGTAATGTGGGAGATAGGATTTCACGGGGGCCAAATTCGTAATTGGAAGAAGCAAAGTGACACAGTGGATGTTGAGGTGTCCAGTTCAGGTGTTTCTTTCTTACATTTCTTTTTTTTTTCTGTTGTCGTTGGTCAACAAATTCCGTGCGTCTCTGTTTTCTCGTGGAAGAATATAAAAAAGAACAGAACCAAAAAAAATATCTCGAAAACACCTGAATACCAATATCACGGAGAAAAAGGGTGGCGAAAACGAAAACGTAAAATTTAAGTAGAAACGACCAAAAAAGTAACTGAATATACAGGTAGACAGAAGTGGGCGGGAAAAAGGACGGAGGTTACTCTTGTTGGTATGACAGCACATCATTGCGTGAAGAGTAGAGTATAGCGTAGCATAGGATCAAGTATAAGGTCATATATGCACAAGTTTACAAATAAACGTTCAGAATTTTGTCACAATTTTTTGCCCTCGACTCGTCCAAAGTTACTAATTCCATATATTATTCCGAATATTTATCCAAATATCATCTAATATGAAAGTCAATAAAAAGAAAAGAAAAAGAAATTATATTGGACGAGTACGGCGCGAGAAAAGAATAAAAAGGCAAACTTGTAATAATCATGCCTACTCTACAATTTGTTGCTTCTACTCACTGTAGTAGGCAATCACATGTCGCAACATTAGCTCGACGTGAATGAGATATCTCGAATTTACAGCGAACATTTCAATTCGTAATATGTATCAATTGTCGACGACTCGTTCACGAAGAGCCAACCGATCTGCTTTCCTTTTCTTTTTTCTTTTTTGCTTTTTATTCTTCGATTAATAACGATACGCATCGATAATCGAAGACATGAACGACATCTGAGGCAGCTTGACCCTCACCGGTGATTCCTTTGCTGTACATGGTCGACATGTCTTCGAACTTTGGCTTCTTTACCGCGTGACCGGCTATCGGACAACCGGATAGAGATCTGTGAGTAGAGAACGATCCGTTTATATGACCGATTCCGTCACAGCCCGGCGTGGGACAGTTCACACCCTCAAACTTCATCGCTGTCGCCGCGGCCACCGCTGCTTTGTGCTGCTCCACCGTACCTCCCGATTCTAATACACGCATCTTGTTCCTGTTTGCAATGGGGCAGCCCGATGCGCTGCAACAAGTCGTTGTTATCGCAATTAAGGACATGTCGTTTCATAGAAAATACCCTCTTACTGAAAATAAGGAAGATAAGAAATGCCAATCTTTTTTGTGACAGAAGAACAAAATCAGTTCGAGACATTACCATCGAACAAAAATGTAACTTGGACAAAGTATTGGTTAAAAGTAATTCGTTCGAATTCGATCTGCTACGTTAATCTTAGTCAAACTGCCTAGTTTCTGTTAACGGGCTAAATTGAAATAAAATTTATTAGAAATATTTTTTTTCAATCAATTTTTTTGCAAATACTTTATATTGGGAACGAAGCTATATCTCGAGCCTTGCATTTTCTTAAAATTATGAGTACTATTTCAAACGCTCAATTTTGAAAAAGTTTCTTTTTAAAGTTTTTGGTAAGTCATAATTACAATATTTGGTCTTCCAAAAAAATAGCGAGGAAATCTTACCTGCGATGCGACAAGAATTTGCCAGTGGCATGGCCAGAGCCGTCGCAACCGGGGATGGGACATCTGTAGCACGAAATGCCAACACCACCATTACCAACACCATATAATCCATCCACAGAGAAATAGAGAGAGCGAGCATGAAACGAGCGGAAACCGCTGGTTATTAGTCAGCGTCTTCGTCTTTGCGTTAGGAAGCGAATAGGGTTTAAGGGACACCGCGTTGAAAGGGATGGGGACGACCTTTTCGGTCTGGTAGCGGATCTTAGCACGTGCAATGCGGTCAGCAAGATATCCACGTAGCTGCGTGTAACGTGCGAACATGGTGAAAACGCAAATTGGAATCGTGATTATGTATAACACAAGTTGCAGAGTTCGCAAGAGACTAGAAGCTCGCTCAATTAAACCCATTCTATCTTTCTCGCTAATCTTTATCAAATTTATGGAAGTGAATTGCACTGTGTTAGTTTTAGAGCAGTGATTACTTGCAATGATTTTCATAGAAAACGATTCAATATGGAAATTTGAAAGTTTTAGTTTAAAGTTTTAGAGATCGAAGGATTGGTTCGATTTTGAAGTGTTGGAGGATTAGTAGAATGTGAATGATACAAACCTTAGTGGTTCCGAATCCTGTCCATCTCGGGGCTTGCTTTTCGGTTTGTTAGCCCTTGGACAACCGGACAAACTTCTGTGAGATGAATAGTTGCCGGTTACGTGTCCCGAACCGTCGCATCCTGGTGTGGGACATTTGAGCTCTTGAGAATGTGCTTGGATCTGGGAACGATCGGCTCGCGGACAACCAGACAAGCTGTAAAGGAAACAAAAATTTCTGCTCTTTTAAACTTGGTCTACATATACCATGACGATTTTGCGCTACTTCCACTTCGTTAGAGAATGTTTTAACAATCTTGTTTTATTCATTGTATATCAGGTAGAATGAATAAGCAGCGCAGGAATCCCCATGGTCAGGATCACGAACGCACACCTCAGAAACATCCAACGATGGCTTCAGCAACACATCGCATGCAATTTACGCGACGTTGCCAAGAAGTCTCGAGTACTTACGTCCAGGTACCAGATATGATACTCAGGTACTATTAAACGATTTAAAAGAAGATCTCGATGAGATTACAAAGTATCGTTCCACAAATGTTAGTTCTATTGCATTATAATTTCCTATTGTTATTTATTATTCGTCAAAGGAGCAAGACAATTCTGCTCACCGAGATCATCCACACGGACTGCTTACATATTAATAATGGTTTTATAAAAGAAGCAGCCTTCAGCGCGATTCCATCTTGGACAACTTGCCTTGCGTCCAGTTCGAACGAAGACATTGAACATGAAGGTTTAAGGCTCGTGTCGTGAAATAACACGTTTCCATTCTCTCTCGAAACATGACTTTGAATGATATCGTATTGATTCCAACAAGTTCTTTTCCCTCGGATCTATTGGGTGAATGGTGGACTCGCAGTCGAAACGGGCAATCAACGATTCATAATTATATACACATATGATAGCATGCAAATGGCAACGCCGTGTTCCAGTTGGATCACTCATGAGGTGTCGCTCGTATCGATCGATCGCGTTTTAAGTTCATGTCAATACAAGGTTGGCCTTACTCTAGGAACACTGAAAAGGAGAGCAGGGAGCACACTCACACCTGACCCCAGTGAAACTCGTCAATTGCCAATTGTCTTTCTCTGTGTTTATAATTAAACGATTATAATTAAACAATCGTGCAACACGCTTCCGGATACGGTGCACCTTTGTGACTGTTACAATTATCGTTATATTTTATTTTCTCTCACTTTTTTCTATTCCTTACGGTTCTGCTCTGACATGGTCATTGGCAACAGTTCGCTACGAAGCTGCCCACTCGAGGCTGGCGAAGCGGTTTTTAAACGGGCGGGTTCGGTGATCGTATAATATATATTTATATATATATACATATTTAGATGCGTATATGAAAATGAATATTAATTACAGCTAGAGCTCAAGACAAACTGGTGGAAGCATCGTATCTTTGCACGAGCACGAAGCTGCTCTTCACCGGCGATCGTCTTAATGATTTTGCCATCCCTTTTCGTAGGGGTCGGGTCGAAACAAGGAGCAAGTGGTGCTTCATTCAACATGAAACTCATCTACACACTTTGGTTATAGTATATCGTACGATAAGGCAAATGGGGTGTGGAGGAATTACGTACGTGAAAAAGGTACGCAAAGAGAAACTATATTGGGGAAGAAGAAAGGATATATAAAGAGAAGAAAGACCGTGGAATGAAAATAAAATGAAATAAAATGATTTGTAAAAATAGCTATTTATATCAAACGGGTGTTTACACGTATAATATGGTAACAGCAATATCGAGTAAGGAGTACAAGACCGGTTTAGCAAGGAAGTTAGGGGCGGAGGAATTCTAGATAAAAATGATATAGTGTCACAAAACACTTAAGAAGCCACTACGCCACGGACCACCAATATGCATTGATGCAAAAACCCATCCATGTAATTTTCGCATTTTCGTGAGAAATCGCTTTTAATGTTTGAATGTGTTTTAAGGATGTCGATATGTGTGACTTTACGCGTGTGTTCTATAGGATGCCAAGTACTTTAACAGGAATCGAACTACTACCAAGGAATTTTTACGTTGGATCGATTCAATGAGGAGAACCAGGGGAATAATTGTGTAGCAAGGTTCCTATATGTATGAATATGTGTATATATGTATTTATGTGTGTGTATGATATGTGGAGCGTGCGTGCGTGCGTGCTGCATCGCTATATCAATATATAAATTATACATAATCGGATGACGTCGTCGAATGTAAAATGTCAGTGTCAATGTCAATGCTGCCTTGCCTTCTGTGGGTAGCGTAGTTTCCCGAGACATGACCCATGCCATCACAGGACGACGTGGGGCACTGTATCAGCTCCTTGCCATCGCGACCACGAGGGGCGGGCCGAGGCACGAAATTCAACGAGTGCCGCCTCATATTCATACTGCACCGAACAACATCAACACTATAAGACACTCTCAACGCGATCACTCGTCTCTCGTATGCCTGCACCTAATAACTCTTTCATACGCGTTCACTCACTACGTCGCACAATGGATGCCAGCGCATAGTCACATGTCGAATCATAAATGGAGAACATGTTCGAGGAACCCAATGGAAAAGTGGAAAAGATCATGTTTGTCTGGATCAACACAATCTTTTTTAAAATAAAGATATCGTCACTTTTACCACTTTTCCTCTGAACCCTCACTTATTATCGTCAAATCCAATTAAAATTTCACACATATAACAACGAAGATAATAAACGATAGGAGATTTTTAATCTCGAAAGCTCAGTTGGAATAACACTGCTTCGGACATCCAGGGTACGAGCGTGGCTGGAACGCAATCGTTGCGTCGCGTCGTTACAGAGCTGGGATAGCAACCGGAAAGTTTTATTGCGCTCCGCAACTTTTCCTTCTCGGCCAGGGCGAGAGGGAGGTTGCCGTGCACGGACAGCGGGTGTCATAGCGACATATGAGAGAGAGAAAAAATATTCCGAAAAGTTCGGCATCCGGTCGGTGGAGAAAGGACGAGGCGCAGCAGCAGCAGGAGCAGGAGGCGGAAGGAATATATGCGGATCAGAGCACGAGAGAGCGGTTTGCTTCTGCTTTTTTCTCTCGTCTCCTCGTAGTTTCGTAGATGAACGAACTACCGCTGGGCTATGAGAAGCCTCGAAAACCTCGATGGCCCTTGAGTAGCCGCGATATTGCCGGCCAACCGAGCCGACGGATGCGGACTTGAGTGCAATTCACCGGTACGCCCCGAATGCTCTGCCTTGTGTATTTTCCCAGGCTCCGTCTAACCACCAACCTTCTCTGTCTTCATATCAACGACCTTCATAAGTCGCGTTTCCGTTATTCGTTCGTCCTTCTATTACGAGTTCTATTACGAATCGAAGATTGTCTATGGAGGGGAGTGAGGTAATTGCTCTTGAAAGCATGTTTCGTGCGTTTTGAAGGAATGACGAGTCTCTGATAAGATTACGATTCATAAGATGATACGATTAGAACATAATGAGAATTGTATAGTAAGTATTACTAAAGTCGGAAATTCGAGAACGAATGGCGCTTCTTTCCTTCCTAGTTTATCGTTATACAAATGAATTTACTGCGGATATTAAATTCCTAGTACACTATAAATTTATGTAATGTATAAATCAAAAAAATTTATGTAATTGCCGTATTAATCATTAAAACTAATAAGATATCTTTTACAAGATTGCAACTTCCAAAGTGTTCTATACGCGAAACTGTTGAAAAAAGGCTGACTACACATAATTATGTTTAAAAGAACTACTGTTTATTTAAAAAATTAAAAAAAGAATTTATTATTTGTATGAGTTTGCAATTTCGGAGAATTCTAGGTGCCTACATATCCAAACCGTAGACGACTATTTTAGAACGCTTAATTTAAATATGATTTCTCCAACTTTTCCACGATCTACCCCTTAATATATAAACGCGAACATTCTCGAAGAATTTGGGTAACGTTGTCGAACGGACGCGCGGAATTCCAGGGCATGGGCGGAGATTAGAAAAGAGAGGAAACCAGTGTTGCCCGAGGTATCCGAGGTGCATTTCAAGGGTCTAACCTCGATGGGACGACGCAGGTCTCGCCCCATAATCCAGTGCGGTGGCAACTGATTATACCCCACCTCCTCTTTCGACCTTATTCACCCTTGGCGGCTCCCCTTCCAGCAGCCTCTCGTTCCACCTCCTCTCCTTATGCGCCGAACCGCGCCTTCTCCACTGTACCGCCGAGCTTTACGTCAATTAGAATAAGGTTGGCACTTTCGGTACGAAGAGTAATTACTTTAATTAACAAAATGGAGGTAGGTATGCGCGATCTCCGCCTCCTTCTGCGCCGTTAGTGGCCGCCACCGCCACCAACCGATTTTGCCTCCTGTGCCTTTTCAGCCGCGAATATACGTATACATTCGCGAGAGAGATTCGCGCGACCCTTTCCGCAAGGCAAGTACCAAAATGTGCGATGCTCGCATGCACGTTTATTAGACGCGTGGACGTTCCTCCGGTTCATTGGACAACGTGGGTACCACCAGAATGGGACGTTTCATTGTGGTCTGATCTTGTATCGTCCCGCTCTACTGAATGAGATCAATTTTTACAACGATCAGGACTACAGGACTTCTCTGAGTAATTAATTTTAATTTAGTATAGATTTATATAAATCTATATTTATATTTAGTATAATTTAGATAGATTTATTGGATTGCACAGTATCTAGTTTACTGAAGCTCTTACTTTGAAAATAATAGTGATAAAAAAATCAATCATCAATTTTCTTTAGAAGTCAAATCAATTATAATAAAGATCAGGAATCTTCAGAAGTTAAAATTAAAAATCTTAACTTGAAATGCTAAGTTTCTTAGTGTCATATATTACTTTTTGAATTTATGTGAATTTAATTAAAATAACAGAGAAAACGTTAAAATACTAATTAATAATAATATTTCGATATTCTCTCTCTCTCTCTCTCTCTCTCTCTCTCTCTCTGAGGATGGCAGTATCGAGTTTCCGATGAACCAGAAACGTCTTACATATTCTCACGAGCGCGGTATTATTTTGGAAGGAAAGTACATAGATCGTCGAGTTCCTTACCTATCGTCTTTACCCGTAGGTTTATCGAGAGGTCCGACTGTGTGCTGCGGAGGTGGCATACTATAGCAAGGTGTCGGCGTGTAGCCAGCTGGGATTTGGTAACCGGAAGTTACGGGACCTCCAGGATAAGTTCCACCACAATTGTAGCCTGCGGTGGGGTAAGGGGTATACGTGTTCCCAGGGTATTCCGGTTGAACGCCTGTCATTCCGTATCCGGGGTGCGGGCTCATCGGTCCATAACCTGAAAGTGACAAATATTTATAATGTAATCTTGTCGAATGAAAGATTCATTATTACAATAGAATATTGTATATAAAATGTTTTATAAACATGAATATGAAATTTAAAAGATTAAAAAATCCCTATTACATCCTAGTGTCGTTTAATAATAAAAGTTTTAATTGAAATAAAAGGTTTTAGTTTAAACGAAGTTAATATTCAATTCATTCTCCACATATTTACCATTCTTTATTCACTTTTCGGTATAGAGGTATATTTAAAAACTTGGAAATATTTATAAAGCTACGTGGATACTTGTCAAACTTGCAGTTCGGATATATATATACAGATATCAAACCAACAGTGTTCGGTGAAAACGTACAATAAAGAAACACGGTACGGTCTAAAAACTGGAGCAACGCGAATACATGAACACGTGCGCGAATGCTCCGCTTTGGTGAAGAAGACGCATGGCGAATTTCAATTTTATGAAAATCTCCACCTCATTCCTACGTAATCTCTTGACTGGCAACGAGATGCAATAATGAAGTAAATAAAGAAGTCACTCTTTCACCGTGGAAACAAAAGAACCACGATACAAAAATAAAGATAAAAGAAAAGGAGAAAATACGGAGAAGAAAAAGAAGGGGATGAAGCAATCGAAAGCGGCAGGACAAAGGTTTGGTGGCGCAAAGGTCGAAACCGTCCGTTAAGGTCGACGCGTCGCTTGATTAACCGTTGTAAAATCTACGCGTTTATTTACCGGCAAGAATTCATTTCGTCTGCAGTGCAAATAGCCGACGGACGAAGAGCGTCGGTGTACGGGCAACGTGGACGACGCGCGAACACGACGACGCTGAACGAACGAATGAACTCGACATGCCGGCTGTGTGCTCGAATATTTCAATTTCAATAACTACTCCCCAGCGTCAGAGTCCGCACAATATTGGCCGCGCCGGACTTTTGCCGGCTACGTGTACGCGAAATATTGATAATTAACAATGGTCGTGTACCGCCACAGGGAGGTGGTCCGGTAGGAAGGGTGCCGGTTTGGTGCACATCCACGCCGGCGAAAGAGGATGAGAGAAGGAGGAAAGGGGCGGGTATACACAGCGAGAGCAGGAGAAACGACGACAGGGACGAGGGAAATGGGCTGCTGTAGGTTTGGAATGCCAAGGCACAGAGAGACCGAGGAAAATGAGAGTCGGGGCCATAGGTGCCTATTATGGCAGTCATGTACTGTTCTGGCGAATTTTTATTCGACGGTTGTAACCGCGTATCGCTCTCTCGTTCGGTTCCTCTCCCGTCCGACCCCCGAGGGCGTCGAGCTCTTTGTTCTTTTCCCTTGTCCATGCATTTCCTCGCTCGTCCGTTACGTGTAGTCAAGCTGACTCGTCGCGTATGTTTCAAGTATATGTGCTTGTTGAAATTTAGAATACCGAAGACTTTGTTGGATCTATGTACATGTTGGTGTTATCTACCCGTTCCAGGTAATTTGTTTCGGTGTCTCTAGTCAACGCGTGTAACAGCTTCTGTTGCTACGCGATGAAAAATGACGGGTTTCAAAACACGAGTCTCATTGGATTTTCTTTGCATTCGATCTCACCACAGCTAGAGTTTTTACTGCATGACGCGGAGTAGTGAAGGTTTGAAATTTTTTAATATTATTCGTTTTCGGTAGCGGATGTTTCAAAAATTAATAGTTAAAGAATGAAATGATTTATTACACAATCAAATCAAAGTAATCAAATTTCATCTTTAAAATTTCAAAAAACATTTAAATCTAAAAAGATAGAAAAAAGAGAGCACCTTTTATTTTATACCTCCGTTAAAAATTATCATTTTCAATATTTAAATCGTCAATTATTATAAAAACGATCAACAATTACAGATAAAATAGAGATGAGGAATAGAATAGAGTCAGGGGTCATAAAGCGTTTCCATATGATCGATGACGAACTATCTGGCAAGTTAAGTGATAAACAGTGATAGCTCACCAGTGGGATCGCGGTAAGCGTCCATGTAGTGGGAACCCCCGCTGTCTGGGGTGCTTTCCCGACTGTACGCCGTGACGTGCACACCGGGTGGCGGGAAGCCTGGCACAGGCCTGATTCCAGGACCCCCACTGAAATTGACCGGCTCGTTTGCCGTCGAGAAGTCCACGGGCTCGGTTTGCTCCTCGATTGGTCTGGGTGCTGGGAAACCAGG